CGTTTCTCTTTTTCGTGTTTTTTTTTCTCGTGACCTCCATTTTGGACTTTTTTGTATGCTATCCTATTCGCAATCAAATTCTGGCAATAATGGGGCCCTTCGACCAGCTATGCCAACAGGCACGCCCCTCACTCTACTTGTGTGCACATTTCGGGTACCCGACAGGAGGCCCGTCGCGCGCCGAGAAGGCAGAATGCAGACAGGTCGGCGAACGATAGCAGCGTTTTCTGCAGTGGTTTCGCGTCAAAGTAAGTAGAATGTACTATAGTACATCTCAATCACACTGCACGTGCTGGGACCTCTCTGCGTCTCTGCCTTCTCGCAGCGCGTCGAGCCTCCTGTCGGTTACTAGGCTATTTCAACCTATTCCACAGTAGGAGTTAAGGCACTCTTTAGAGAATAATCTTTCGTTGATTCATTTTCACGGTTCGTCCTAGTGTCTCAGCGACAAAACCATTTTCCTAAAAAGACGAAAAAAAGGAAAAAATGATCTAAAACAATAATATTGTTGGTGAGACCAACAGCGCTGCGACGGCACGCGGCAGTTGTTGCAATGCGCTTCACAATCCACGTGACGCGTCTGATTCTCGCTGCATTCGCTTTTTTTCTCAAAATTTTGGGCTGTTTTTGTTTCGATTTTATTTATGTTGATTAGTTCCAATAATCTTTCAGTGATTCTGCTGTTGCATTGCCATTTCTGTTGAAAAACGAAAATCCTTCACAAGTATGAAGTCATCAATTACTCAATTCCTACAGCAGGTTAGTTTTATAACTCACTCATAAGTTTTTTTTTTTAGTTGCTATGACTGGAAATTTAGCCGGGACATAAACAAATATGGCCGAGACATTGAACCAAAGTTTGATTAAATGCGGAGTAATTGATTTTATTGAGCGGTAGTACCGTGCAGCAGAATCTTTCATAGCATTTCGTGGGTGTACACACTTGCGCTGCTTCGCAACCGCACGCATCTGTTCTTGTCAAACTCAGAATGTTTCTTTCTAGAGGTTGAATGTTCTTATTTCAATAGCGACACGAGAAATGAGCCATGAGCCTCGACTGCTTTCATTGTTGAAATTGGATGACCCGTTAGGGCCCAAAAATGAGTAATACGTCTCATGTTCTCGCCGCTGTGAGGGCTACATAAGGCTCATGAATTCTAATTCAAGGGTTACTTGAACTCGCAGGTAAAGTTGGAAGAAGATATTTTGGGTAAAGAGTAGTAGTAGAAGTGATTTATTACTTTTGAAATCACATATGACGCAAAGATTGGTAAGTAATACAATGTATTGAAAAGCACTGGGAAGCAGTTAATGGGGCTTAGTCGAAATGCTTAAAAGCGATTGGTGATCTAAACAATGTGACAGAGTTGGAAATCGAAATGCAGTGGCTAAACAAAACAGTGTGCCAAAAATCAATAATAAATGTTACGTGGCTATATCCCGAACATTGCAGGTATTTACATCGGCAAACTACCCGCCCCTGCCCCCCTTCCACATCCCTACTTAGCATGCTTCACACATACTCTATTTATCATTTCCTAAAATAATATTTCAATGAAGTCTGACATGGACGCCGTTGAGGTTCGAAGCCTTTCGCCGCTGCATTCATCACTGTTCACTCATTCGTATCGCTCAATAAGGTTCTCAAAATAGTTCCACTCTAGTTTTCGGGGGCTTCGCACGATGACTTACGCCTGTAGTCTAACGACAACTCTGCCTTCAAAATAGTCAAAATCGATAATGGCACAAAAATCACAGAGCTGAATAACTAACCATTATAATCATAAATCAAGCGAAGCTATAAAGTCATGCAACGGAGCTGGCCTGGTGATTTGTAGAAATGTGTGGTCGTGAACGATAGAAAATTATCCGCCTTTATGAAGTTTAAAATTGTACATGATGATGGAACCGCTTCTATCGTACCATTAGCGCCAAAGCCAACAATACGAGCGATAAATCGCGAAACTGCGGTTCTCCTGTTCATGCACCCATTCTCATCTGAAACAAAGCATACAACTGCTTTTGTCAGATTAATGTAGTGCTAGATTACGCTATTTCTGTGACATCATCACGTTTGATTTTTTATATGATGAATCTTTCGATGATTAAATTTTGGCCTGTAGCCATAGACCTTTCGTAAACAGAAGAATTTTTAGAAATCGTGGGAAATTGAATAGTGTATTGCTATTATCATACAATATAATACTCCGAATATGATGAATAAAATTTAATTAAATGAAATATAAAAAATTTAAATTCTTCCGTCTTGAACCATATAAAAAATATTTTGTGTAGTGAATATAAACCCCGCTGCCCACTCATTCAGTTCGGTAGGCTGAAGGCAGCAATCTAAAACACCTAACAGGTCGAGGTACCGATCATCTTCACCAGCTGAACTGCGCTAACTCGCTGTGATGGATAGTGCGACCGGGCGCATCCTGGCTAATCCTCGAACGAATCGTGCTGTTATTTGATCCCGTGAAGCCGAAACTTTTTGGCCAGAATATCCAAAATTTTATCCTAATTCTCGAAAAGTCTCTTGAGAAATCTTTGGCGTTTTCCTCCGGCGAGGGGAAGAAGCAGATTTGACACCCTTTTCGTCGCATTTGGACATCAAAGTCTCCTTGTTCCCTACATCGATCATTTTCTTGCATCGATAAATCTTCTCGCCTGGTCTTAGCCGCCTTTGGCAGTGGTCGAACAGCGAAGTTGGCGTCTGCTGCTGCTTGGGACAGGGGTCCGTTTGCATGATTGCTAGGTAAAAGTATGGACGGGTTAGGGTGGTTCTCTACTGTTATGGTTAGGTACTCGTCTACTGCTATCTCCATACCTAAGATAAGCAAGGTACGAACTGCTACATGAACGTTCCTTATCTAATAATATATGAATAACTGAAAAATATTACCTAACAATCCTTGATGCGGCAAATGAATCATCAGAAAGTGCAAAATATGGGTAACTTTCGTGACCAATTCGTTACTTTTCGTGGGATATACGAAAAAAAATCATTTGGTGTTGACAATCTCTTCTCAGGATACGCCATGTACTCGAAGTTTATTCAAAAAAAACGCAAATACAAACAATTTGCATGTTGAAAGTTTCGTATGTAATCGTCCATGATACTTTTCATCGTAGCAACGAATTCACTGCACGCACCCTCAATTATACCAGGGGAAATGAATTATATTGCATGGCCGATTTTAAGACTTGTGTGACCTTTTGGCACATTTTATTTTTTTTGATCGTCTAAATAATGAAAGTAAAAAGTCTTATATTTAGAATAAAATAACACTAACATCATTATCATTGAAGAGAGCCGTGTTAATTGTGGCTAAACCCCTCAGCACAGGCAGGAACCCGTTTCTCGAACCTGTTTCGTTTCTGCATAACTGAGCTACCACCCCACCAGGCCGCTGTTTCATCTTCAAGGCAGTGGTCTTGATGGATGAAGTACGGTGAAGTTTCGATGGTTGTGATGACGTCATTGGATGTCCCTGGTGACTTACCACTCAGCGCCACCGGAAGGTGTGGTTGGGGACCTCTGACGCCTCGCACCAATGACATTTCTTGAAGTCACAAGAATTAGCCTGCCCTCAGCCATTGTATGAATGCCTTTATCTAGGCCTAATGGTATACATGAGTACATCTCGCGACCAAAACACCAAAGCAAAAAAAATAAAATAATTGCCGTTGATCAATCCCTTTTTGGGATGCGGCACGCATTCTACTTCCATTTGTACATTCGTAGTGGCGTTTGAATGCGATGTGGCCTATACAATGACTTGCGGGGGCCAGCCGATGTACAAGTCAGTGTTTTTATCCTCCCAGACAAGTCTGGTACCAATTAACCGACCCCGGAGGGATGGAAGGCTTGGTTGGCCCGGGCGACTCACGACCCAGGATTTGATCCCCGGACCGCTCGCGTGGTAAGCGTGCCACTTGCCACTACATACGCCCTTCTGTCCCGTTAACACCAAAACAAGGAGAACTTTAAAAAAAAATCAGCTGTCATTAAACAATTCAACCAGTTAGCAACCATCTAGTACCAATACGACATACAATGAAGACAACGTTCTAAATATATTATATAGATGTTTATATAAAATTATCCATATTATATGATAAAAATATATTCAAAGCCCGCCACTTTCAAGAGTTTCTGCTCACACACACACGTGACGATGTCTAGGGTGATTCAGAGTTCCATTTTGCGGTGAAAAGCCCATCTCACTAGTGAACAGTAATTTGAGCCAATGCTGGTTCGGGATCGTCTTTTCGTAAGTACTGGCAAAGCTGTAGTACAATTAACGCCACTAAAGATTTCGACACAAGAAGCATTGTTTTGCGTTTCGCATTTGCTACAAGCTAATGGATTTTGGCATGCAAATGCCAACGTACGGCCCCGCTCCCCCCCTCCCCGTCACCGAATATTTCTGACGATCCGCCTCCCTCAAAACCGTGCAAAACAAATCTTCCCACCAAAAAATAACCGTCGAGCCAATGGATAGGGAAGGGAGGGGGAATAATATACGCGCGCTGAAACGGCAAATTTTCTCCCGCGCCGCTCCCCACTCATCACATGCAACTTCTTACAACCGAAGCAAGTACGACCCCCCCCTCTACAACTCTTCAAAATACGACCCCCCCGTTGCTACTTGTAGCAACATAGGGTTGACCCTGGTTGCGATCCCCTCTTGAAGCCGTTCCACCAATGACATTCAATGACGTCACAGAAGTAGCCCTACCCCTCAACCATTGTGATGAATGCCTTTAACTAAGCCTCTAATGGTATACTTACCATACCTTGGCCAAAAACACTAGTTAACAATCAAAACAAGGAAAAAATGAAAGAAAAATTGTTGCAAATTAAACTATTCAACACAGTGATAATTATAGAACATAGTAACATACAAGTGAAGATAGGCCTAAATATTTATATTTATTTATATGATATTAGTATTTATTTATAAGGAATATATATGGTAAAATATAGTTCTACCCACTTTCACGGAGTTCTCTTCGAAAAAGGAGGTCTTCGGCTCGACAATGGCCGTGACGATGTCATGGGTGATCAGGTTCCATTTTTGTCGTGTGAAAGCACATCCACAAGTGAACAGTATGTTGAGCCATGTGGGTCGGATCGCTTCGATTCGAGTACTGCAAAAGTGAGACATTAGGTCCTCTTGGAACAATTTTGACACAGCATCGTTTTCGTTTCGCATTTGCACAGGCTAATGGATTTTTGCATGCATAATTGCCCGTATAAGCGTGAAAAGTATTGGCTATTATAATGGAGCCTATAGTTGCTGGGATTCGTTTTTCCCAGAAATCGCTTTGTACTCTCAACGGAATTTTCCAGAACACCTGTTTGTTTTGAGCAAGCTCTTTAAATGGGGCAGAGCTCCCTACTCAATCGATACTTCCTTTTGAGCATTTACCTTGCCAATTCTTCAGGTATCCACTTCCTAAGGTTCCCCATTTTGCGGCCGTTTTCACTTAGGTAAAATTGCTGGGTTCCGATAATCGTTTTCCGGTTTTCGAAATCTGGTTTCCCAATTCTCCTATAGAACTACTGTAGGTGAGAAATATGATTGAAGATTCGAAAGTATGGGAGAAATCAATGAATCGTGCTCACCCATTCATTTCATCCGTATTTGCTTGTATCGTGACAATGTCACCAATTTCACGCATCTCATACACCGTCATACCTGAACTGAAACGTTATCTCTCTCTTAAATAAATTAGACTATAATTAAGAATTTATTATATCAGATAAATGAATAAATAAACAAATAAATATATATTAAAATTCACAAATTATTTGTTGGGTTCATCTATGAAATAAATGCAAAAAATGTCATCTCAGGTTCTCCTTTCTATTTTTCGATTCGCCTTTTTGTTCACGGTGTATATATTTTACTTTTTTAATGTGGATTCGTTAGAAGAAGATTGGGAAAAGGATCGATATCCCCCCACAAGCTCCAGATCAGATAACGTCCCTGGCCCTGCCCACAATATTTCTTGCAACTAACTCCATGGTTTGTGCTTTGAATCTGGCCTAATTATTCATAAAAAAGGTTCCGTTTATTATCGATTTTTCTTTCATCTACTGCGCTTTTTGGAAAGTAATCACAAGTTCGATCAGTGGAACCAATCCATGCATTTCGTCTCTGGATCAGCTTGCTGAATTCGTATCGATCGATTATTTCTCACTTTTAAAGTAGTCAATACATGCTTACAAAATCCAAAGAAGAAAGTATTACTCTTCAAGAGGGTTGCAATCCACGCATCTAAGATCGCGGTCGCGGCGCCGCAGGATCAATCGCGACTTTGAAAATATTTTTGAAAAGTTCTGCGACCCCTACTAAGAAGCTCCGATATGACCCCATCACCACCATCAGCCTTGGAGAGTCCCCTAACACGACCCTACCACCACCCACCGCAACCTTCACCACCCTGCTTGCTTCTATAAGTTTTTGACTCGAAGCCATCTCTTGCCTTCAAATCGTTCAAAAACACCGTCCAGAAACGATCCCTTTACCTTCTATGGCGACACGATCCTCAGCATCCATCTAGAAGATCTCTGGAAACTCAAAACTGCCATTCATTTTGTCATCCCGAACACGCA